GTGGAAGCTTTTGTTAAAAATTGAAAGTAATTGCACAGCGATTTAGAGTGGTTCGACTTTCTCAATCAAAGTCTACGTCCAATACCTTAGCTATCCACACTAAGGATTTTCCAACAAATTCACTAATTTGTTCTTTCTTTTGAGGCCAAAGAGATAACCTTACAACTCCCTCAAGAATATACCCCAATTCTTGAGAACACTCTTTCTCAAAGAGAAGATTACAAATTTTCAAACTTACAAGGAAATCATCACAAGGTAGATTGTTTGCACAATTCTAGAACAAAGAAAAGAACACTAAAAAATGAATACAATTAAGTACAAGTAGTGTTCTTGAAAGCAAAATGAACATTGAATGAAAAATAGCTTGAAGTGCTCAAACAATGAGTTTGATGCTTTCTCTTTGATTCTCTCTTGATTCTAGTTTATTGTTGTTTCTTCTTTTGATCAATGGCTTCTAAGCTTGCTTAAATAATCCTTCAATTGATTCTGAACGTTGGGGATGATTAGTTGAGTCAATAGAGTCATTTAAGTGTGAAAACAATTAATAAAACAGTTTGGGAGTGTCAGTGCATCGATGCATATACAAGGTGCATCAAGTGTAAAATTTAAATATTTCGACCGTTGGACCCTTAGTGCATCGGTGCACTAAGAGTGCATCGATGCATGAAGTGCATTCGATGTTTCAAAATAGCGTGAGTGCATCGATGCATGTCTTGTGCATCGATGCATCAAATGCATTCGATGTTTTCATAAAACTCTGAGTGCATTGATGCATGGTATGTGCATCGATGCATAAAATGCATTCGATGTTCAATTTATTCATTGGTGCATCGATGCATCGGTGCATTCCTTTGAAAAATTGATTTTAGGTTTGATTTTGGTTCAAAATACTTTGTGAAAATTGTTTCAAAAATAGTTTAAGTATAAAACACAATTTTACACATTTAGTAAGGTTTAAAATCGATCTTGAAAGACTTGGAGTAATAATTTGATATTCGAGTAATTAAATCGAATATACTTAGAAAATCATTTATAAAATCTTAAAATTCATTTAACTTAATTTATTATATCGAAACATCAAAATGTTTTCAACAGTATTGTTCATAGGTTAGGTTGTCCACATACTTCTGAACAAAACGGTGTAGTTGAAAGAAAGCACCACCATGTTATCGAGCTTGCCCTGGTGTTACTTGCTCAAGCTACTATGCTAATCAAATACTGGTCTTATGCAGTTGTAGCTGCTGTCTACTTGATCAATAGGTTACCCACTAAAGTTCTTCAAAGAGTGTCACCTTTCGAAAAACTAATGCAAAGGAAACCAGATTATAACATGATGCGAGTCTTTGGCTACCAGTGCTTTCCCCATTTGAGACTATTTCAGAATCACAAACTTGCATTTTGTTCTCAAGCATGTGTATTTTTGGGTGTCAGCCCACAACATAAAGGCTACCAATGCTTGGCTCCAGATGGCCTTGTGTATATTTCTTGTCATATGGCTTTTAATGAACACTTGTTTCCTTTTTCAGGTGCTAACAGTAGTGATGGACATGTTTCGAATATATCTCATACCTTGTCACATTCTCTGAGTTTAGTGACTAATCCTAAGCAGCTTGTATTCCAGTCCATATCTAAACCAGTACATATGTCAATATCAAATGCTGTAAGGAATACTGATGAAGCATCAATGCCTGTGGAGCCTTCAAACAATGTTGACTCTCATGCTTACTAGCAGCCTGAGTCTTCATCAAGGTCTGAAAACGACATTGACAATATTGACTCCCATACTCCCCAACAGTCTGAGCCTTTGTCTAGAACTGAAGATGATACTTCTGATCTGGTTAATAATTAGGACAACACAACTCTTCATGAATTAGATATAGTTTCTGAGGTTATTATGCCTTCTTCTGGTGATGTCTCTTCTGGCCCACAGTGTATTCATCACATGATGACTCGTAGTTGATGTGGCATTTTTAAACCAAAGGCATATGCTGCTGAATGCACTGAAGATGTTCCTGGCTCAATTCATAAGGCGTTGTAGGTGGTACACTGGAGACAGGCAACTCAAGATGAATACGATGCTTTGCTAAAAAATGACACATGGACCTTTGTCAGCCTTCCAGAAGGTCGAACCCCAGTTGGTTGCAAATGGTTGTTTAAAGTGAAACGCAACCCAGACGGTTCTGTGCTGCGATATAAGGCGTGGTTAGTTGCAAAAGGTTTTTCACAAGTCCCGGGCTATGACTTCAAAGAGACATTTAGTCTGGTTGTTCATTTTTCAACGTTTAACATGATTCTGGCTATTGCTGTGCATAATGGCTGGGCACTTAGGCATGTAGACATAAATAATGCATTTCTTAACGGGGATTTGCTCGAGGATGTGTACATGCAGCAACCCCCAGGTTTTGAAAATATGGATGAGCATGGAAAACCATTTGTGTGTAAGCTGCAGAAAGCGTTATATGGGCTTAGACAAGCACCCAAGAATTGACATGAGAAGTTGAAAGAAAATTTGCTGCAAATGTAGTTTGTTGTTTCTCGAGCTGGTCCCTCACTGTTCCACAAACTCACGCCTCATAGATTCATCTACATACTGGTGTATGTTGATGACATAGTTATTACAGGACAATCCTTAAACGATGTTGGAGAAGTTGTGTTAATTCTAAAGGACATGTTTTCGTTAAAAGATCTGGGGGAGTTGAGTTACTTCTTGGGAATTGATGTTAAACGATCTAAGGATGTTGTGATCTTAAACCAAAAGAAGTTTGTGTTGGAACTCTTGGAGAAAATTGGTGTGTAAAATGTTGTTGGCTGCAGTTCTCCTATGATCATGTCCTCTAAACTCTCAAATGAGGAGGGTGCTTTAATTCAAAATGCAACTGAATATAGAAGTATTGTTGGTTCCATACTTTATGTGTCATATAAGGCCTGACATTTCTTTCAGCGTTGGACAAGTTGCACAATTCATGAACTCGCCTAGAGAGTCTCATTTAATAGCTGTTAAAAGAATTCTTCGATACTTCGCTGCCACTCTAGATTATGGCCTTGTTTTCTCTTCTTCAGCAGCTAGTTTGGATGTGGTAGCCTTTGCTGATGTAGATTGGGGTTCTAGTATTGATGATCGTCGATCCATATCAGGGCATGGAGTGTTTCTGGGATCGTGCTTGGTTGCATGGTCATCGAGGAAACAAAGAACAGTCTCGAGGTCCACTATGAAAGCAGAGTACAAAAGCATTGCCGATGCCACTGCAGACATTATCTTGGTGAATGCGTTACTAAATGACCTTGGTATTCCACAAAAGTGTACACCAGTTATATGGTGTGATAAGTCCAGTACAGTGGCCTTGAGTGCCAATCATGTGTATCATGCTCAATCGAAAGCATGTTGAGCTCGACATACACTTTGTACATGAGAAAGTTGCATCCGGTCAACTTTGTGTTAACTACGTTCCAGCCATGCACCAAGTAGTTGATGGCTTCACAAAGCCATTATCGAAAGCTGCTTTTGAAAACTTTTAAGCCAAAGTCCGTGTGCAGCAAAACTAAACAACAAAAGGAAAGAAATAGGGAGAATATTAGAGCTGAAGTATGTGACACGTGGAATGTGCGGTTATTTGTGCAAGAACTGGTGAGCTGGTGATAAGCTATTAAGGAAGCAGTTATAGTCTGTTAGGTTTAACAAACTTTTGTTGAGTCTGTTGAGGGTAAACCTCACACACACTTTGAATATATGCATGGCCAGTTGTGTGTCTTGAACTGAGTCCATTTTATATCAATAAAAATGCAAAGCTTCTTAAGAGTAATCTAATAAACTAGTAGAAAAGACGATTGTTAGATGATATCTTGATGAGAAAGAAAATGGATCATGATAAGAAATATGGTGATTAGGATGATCTTCAATTATTGTGTTTGTAAAAGAAAAAGTGAGTCAGGAATAATAAAGACCACGACGACGTGAGAGTGTGAGGGTTCCAATCTTATTCTAATCTCAATTAAAGGGTATCTATAATAATTTTGTAATATTAATGTCACCTGTATATTAATCGTAAAATTATCATGACTAATTATAGGTGGATATGCTATATATTTAATAGTCAAATTTTAAATTTCGCTTTAATGTAGATATAACAAGACTAATATATACGTGTAGCTGGTGCTGCCTTTTTATGCCCATGCCAATGACTGTATATTCGAAAAGTTCAAAGACTATTTATTAAGGCTTAAATTATGCATCTATTTTCACCTTACATTAAGATTCTTCGCAATAAAATTTCTGTAAAATAATAAGACAAAGTTAACCTAGAATTAGTACGACATCCAAAGCAGAAAGATGAGAAAGCAGCATTTAATTGTAAGTGGGGTCGAAGATCAGCAACATTAAATTACATGTCCCGGGTACTGAAGAAAAAAATTTGAACGGTGGAGATGGTGGTGATTCATGGCAACAGATGCAGGTGATAGCAGACAAGACTTTGATTAAAAAAAATCATCATTATTAGCTGTAAATCGAGTGGTGAGTGGCGACGGTGGTCCAAAGTCGTAACTCTTACTAAACACCAATATCTCATACACAAAACAGAACTTTCCCTAATATCGCTTACAGCTGTTGCTTCTACCACAAGTGTACAATTATATTCCAAATATTATACATAATAAAACAAACATGAATTGAAGGTGTATTGAGACGGGTTATTATTTTAGAAATTTTTACTTTTTTATAATTTAAATATTTTTATTAATAATTTAATTTTATATTTTCTAAATTCTATAATTTCATAATATAATTTATAAGTTTACAATTTGAACATAAAATTCTACGTTATATAAAATTACTTTATTATATTTTACTTTTATCTATGAAATTAGAATCCGAGAATTTAATGAAGGTAAACATGGGTAAAAGAATCTAGTTTCACTATAAGGAAATTACCTTGTATTACCATATGTGTACCTACGTGTATATAACCAGCAGTTGTCTTTATTTTTTCATCTGCCACCATACTTGCAGAACAACTATTAATAACTTTTCAAGGTGATCGATTGGTTTTGGCCCTTTGAACATTTGCAATATTTGATCACCCAACTTCACCACCACCACCACTTTCCCAGTTCTCCTTCGCCTTTTCCTCCACCGCCAACGCCGCCACTTTTTTCAGTTTCTCGAAACCAGGATTACAAGAAACCACCAAAAAAGATCTTAATCTTTAAATCTCAAACAACACTCTTTTCTTCGTACTGAACTTACTCTACAAAGCTACATTTCTCAAAGGTAAGTCCAGTTTATCAGATAATGCCACTTCTAAAGCATAATCATTTGCTTGATAGTTGATTGATTGCTTTAGTTTTTTGTTTAACTATAAACTGTTTGAGGTGCGAGCACAGTTGAACTGTGTATAGTGAGTAAAAATGGGAGAGAAAAAAATTGTTTTTACCTCTGCATTTTTTTAATTGAAAGAGAGATGTTCGGTTTCACGATCGGTAAAACGTTTCCGTTTGAGATTTTTTTTGTCGGTGAGGTTTATTATGTTCGGATTTTTATTAGATCTTTTAGATTTCACCTGAAACCATTGATGAACTCGGTTTTGTTTGAGATTTCAATCTCATCTGATTCATTTCATGTGTATTTATATTTCAGTTTCTAAATTGACGGCTTGTCTTTTTCCTTCACGTTTTTTTCAGTCCCAAATCTGCCAACCTACAGTTTGCTCTTCTTCTTTCTAGTAGTTCAATCTGCTTTGTAGATTTTCAAGCTTGCAGCCTTTTTTCCCCCTCCCCACTTTACATTCTGTTTGGCAGCTAAGAAAATGTGGGATGAAAGACGAGAAAAACTCTGATTTTTCTGACAGCTGTGTAATAATTTGATTTGGTCAAAGTATATTCTGGTAAAAAAAATGAACTTTGTTCTTAGGATTCTCGGTGACCAGGTAATTGAAAACAATTAATAGTTTGGTGAATTCATACCAGAAACAATTAGCTGTCAGTGTCATCAAACATGTTTCTGGTTATAGACATTGAATGTGTTTTGAGGAAATTGAATTTGGTTTGGAAGTTTTTTACTTTTCTATAAGAAAATAAAGTGTACGAGTCGAATCGAATCGAGTGGCTGCAATGTGTATTCTTATGTATATGTTTCCGGCTTGGAGGGAGGCTATGATGTTTAATTTTTCTGACAAATTATATGGTCTTCTTGACAGGCTACACAAGGATTTCAAGTAATGGATCGTCGGTGGCCTTGGAAGAAAAAATCATCCGATAAAGCTGATAAAGTTGCTGCTGCGGCCGCCGCTGAAGCAGATGCTGCTGCCGCTACTTTGGCTTCAGCCGCTGCTCAAACCAACCAGGTAAATCTTTTATACTGAACTAAAATGCACAGCGAACATACTTGCTTAGGCTTCCTTTTCATTCTTGATTTCGATTCGTAATGCATTATCAGATACCGATTCTGTGATTTTTCGTTGAATAGGATACCTACAAAAAACAGAAGTACGTTCAAATTTCCATGGAATCGTATTCGCACCTTACTGGTTTGGAGAATCAAGTGAAAACGTACGAGGAACAAGTTCAGACATTGGAGGATGAGATTAAGGACTTGAATGAAAAGCTCTCTGCTGCTAATGCAGAGATTACTACCAAGGAAGACTTGGTGAAACAACACACTAAAGTTGCAGAAGAAGCAGTCTCAGGTTAGTCTTTGCTCAAATGTTCAGTGTCTAATGGCTTCCGGTTAAGCTCGGCCTGATTTTTTTCCCTCAATTTTTGCTGTTGGTTTTACTATAGGTTGGGAAAAGGCTGAAGCAGAGGCCTTGGCGTTGAAAAATCATCTTGAGTCTGTTACCCTTTTGAAGCTCACTGCTGAAGATAGGGCATCGCATTTGGATGGTGCTCTTAAGGAGTGCATGCGACAAATCCGAAATCTGAAGGAAGAACATGAACGGAAGTTGCAAGATTTGGCTGTTAGCAAAAACAAGCAATGTGAAAATATTAAGCTTGAGCTTGAAGCGAAGATAGCTAATTTAGAACAAGAGCTCCTTAAGTCCCACGCTGACAATGCTGCAATTTCTAGGTCTTTGCAAGAACGTTCTAACATGCTGGTCAAGATCACTGAAGAAAAGTCACGAGCTGAGACTGAGATTGAGCTTTTGAAGGGCAACATAGAATCGTGCGAAAGGGAAATAAATTCACTGAAGTATGAGCTTCATGTAGCTTCCAAAGAGCTAGAAATTCGTAACGAGGAAAGGAATATGAGCATGAGAACTGCAGAAGCAGCTAACAAACAGCATATGGAGGGTGTCAAAAAGATAGCAAAGTTAGAAGCAGAGTGCCAGAGACTCCGTGGTCTTGTGCGGAAAAAGTTGCCCGGGCCTGCTGCACTTGCCCAAATGAAGCTAGAGGTTGAGAGTTTAGGTCGAGACTATGGTGATACTCGAATAAAGAGGTCTCTCGCCCGGTCTTCTAGTCCCCACGTGCCCACTGTGACTGATTTCTCCCTTGACAATGCACAGAAATTGCAAAAAGAGAATGAGTTTCTCACGGAACGATTATTAGCAATGGAAGAAGAAACAAAGATGCTGAAAGAAGCTTTGGCAAAGCGTAACAGTGAACTACTGGCTTCTAGGAATCTTTGTACTCAGAAATCTAGCAAGCTTCAAACTTTAGAAACGCAACTCACTATCAGCAACCAACAAAGCAGCCCCTCAAAAGCTATTCAGATTCCTGAAGTATACTCAAGTCAAAATGCTGGCAATTCACCAAGTGTGACTTCTGTGTCTGAAGATGGAAATGATGATAAAAAAAGTTGTGCTGACTCATGGGCAACAGATGCGATCTCTGAGCTCTCTCCATTCAAGAAGGAAAAGAGCATTGAAAAGTTGAATAGAACTGAAAATGCAAAGCACCTGGATCTTATGGACGATTTTCTTGAGATGGAGAAGTTGGCGTGTTCTCCAAATGATTCAACTGCAAATGGTGCAATCAACATTTCAGATTGTACCAACAATAAGACATCGGAAACTTTTAACGGTGATGCATCGGGAGAGATTTCTTGCAAGGAACTCCAGTCTGAAAAGCAGCATGATCTATCACCATCAACAAATCAAGGGTCTATGAATATGGATTTTTCAGAAGTCTATACTGAATCTGACGCAGACAAATTGCTTGTTACGAAGCTTCGAACAAAGCTCTCTATGGTGCTTGAATTAATGTCCAAGGATGCTGATGTGCAGAAAATTCTTGGGGACATCAAATGTGCCGTTCAGGATGCACATGATACCCTGAGCCAGCACTCTGTCAGTGGTGTCTCCAAGGAGGTGCATGACTCTAATGGCACATGCAATGGACAGGACTCTCATGCAAATGGTCGCTTAACTGTGGAGAACATTGATGTGCCCCAAGGTGATAAGGTGGCTTCAGAAACTGCGCAAACTATAAGTCGAGAATTAGTTGCTGCAATTTTTCAGATTCACGACTTTGTACTGTCCCTGGGAAAAGAAGCAAGAGCAGTTGACTTCTCTTCTGATGGCAACGGATTAAGCCACAAAATTGATGAGTTCTCTGTCACCTACAATAAGGTATTATGCAGCAATGTGAGTTTGGGTGATTTCATTTTTGATCTTTCTACTGTTTTAGCCATAGCCAGTGAAAGAAGATTCAATGTGCTTGGCTACAACAGTAGTGTTGCTGAAATCAATAGTTCTGAATGCATAGATAAGGTTGTTTTACCAGAGAATAAGGTAAATCAAAATGATTCATCAGAAGGGAGATATCAAAATGGCTGTGCCCACATTTCAAATCCAACTTCCAATCCTGAGGATGCTGATGATGGAAACATGGTCTCGGAATATGAATCAAAACAAGTGAGCAACATCTCTTTGGAAGAGTTCGAGGAATTGAAGTTGGAGAAAGAAAACTTGGCAATGGATCTTTCTCGATGTACTGAAAATCTGGAGATGACCAAGTCCCAATTACATGAAACTGAGGAGCTTCTAGCAGAAGCAAAATCTCAGTTGGCATCTGCTCAAAAATCAAACAGCTTGGCTGAGACACAGCTGAAGTGCATGGTAGAATCATACAGGTCACTTGAAACACGGGCAGAGAAGTTAGAGACCGAGGTGATCCATCTCAGAGAAAAAATTGAAACTCTGGAAAGTGAGCTTCAAGATGAAAAGAAAAGTCATTATGATGCTTCTGCCCGATGCAAGGAACTAGAAGAGCAATTGAAAAGGTAAGCATTGCACTCTTCTCATACAATTTAAAGTTATTACCAACTCGTCGTCGTTTGATCCTATATGCAGGTTATTTACATCTAACATAATTGTTTTCCATCACTTTTAGGAACGGGAAAATTTATGTTTGTTCGGCAGACGATAACAACCCCAAGAACAAGCAGGTGAAACTATATCTCATCTTGTCTTTCTTAAAACCATGAAACCTAATATTAATGTTAACAAATACCAACTAGTGCATTATAGTGTCGGATATGGTCATGATATGATCAATTCTGAATCCATTTTATATGGAACAATCCATACTAGCAGCGTTCTCTTATTTGCAACCATGAGTCTTCTTGAACAAGTCATTCCTCCTCGGTTCTATTTTTAATCTACAATTTAAAACACCTGACTTTTAAGATTGTTCTTGTTGACCACAGTACAAAGAATTAGCTGCTGCGGCCGAGAAGCTAGCGGAATGTCAAGAAACTATATTCCTTCTTGGCAAGCAATTGAAAGCTCTCCGACCTCAAACCAATGAGATTGGATCACCCTACAATGAGAGGAGTCAGAAGGGTGAAGGTCTCAGTGAGGATGAACCCACTACCAGCGGCATGAACTTGCAAGACTACCAGGCTGAGATAGACGCTGCTGAATCAGGCAATGGAATCCGAGCTGGTGCAGAATCCCCTATGGAGTCCTTTAACACACCTTGCAGCCCATCTGATACCGAAGCAAACCTTTTGAGATCACCAGTCGGTTTGAAGCACGGGCCTAGCACTCAACCTTTGACTTCTGCCACAACAACACCGGAGAAACATTCGAAAGGCTTTAGCCGATTCTTTTCCTCCAAAGGAAAGAATGGTGTTTAAGACAGCAGTTGATGGACATAGAAACTGGATCATTGGAAATAATTGGAAGAACCAAAGCTTAGAATTTTGTAACTAATGATTGTATATGCTATCCTTTGTAATTTGGCCAAGTGAATGTAACATAGTTTTGGAATGTTGAATACATTTTGGATATGTGGCAGTTCTGTTCGTTTGAAGCTACCCAAGAACATGATAAAAGCGATATAGGTTAAACAGGACAAGATTATACAAATACACTACGAAAAAAGTAATATGACATAACATGAATACATAAATGTCTCAACCTTTATATAATACAAATTGTTTAATTTTTTTTTAATTTGTAAAAATATCTTAAAAATATTATAACACAATGAAATATACAATCAAGTAAAACTTACCTGAACGTGTAAAAAATTATTAAATCTCGGGTTTAGGAATATATATATATATATATATATATATATATATATATATATATATATATATATATTGTATTTATATAAATATGTAACGACGAATCTCGACATTCAATTTAGGGAATCAACTCATATAATGCGTGTATATATGACTTATTTTTTTCATAGTATTTTTTCAATAGAAAAAACTCTTGAGAAGTTAAACAAATTAAGATGAATTTTTCTCTATTTATAATACAAAGTATTCAAATTTGTCTAAATATTACGTGAGATTATCAATTAACAAAATAGAGGATATGAAAGTTTGATTTCCAAACAAATGATCTTTTATATTGTTTATTTAAAAATATTATAAAAATAAGAAAAAAAATCCAAATAGACCTTAGAAAAAAAAGGTAATATTGATATAGAGAAAAAAACCTTAGAAAAAAAATAGCTGATAGAATAACATAATAGGCTAATATTTTAAAAGATAAGTTTAAATTCAAATATTTGTTATTTCTTTTTTATGATAATTTAAGTTAAATATATAAAATTTATATTTTAAATACAAATTTATTTTATATAAGTTTATATTAATATTTTTTCTAAAAAAAAGGAAGATACAAAAACTAAATTAAACATTTCGAGAGAAATAATTAAGAATTTTATAGAAGTATTACTAGTTTTACAATCTCGTCATGCTTGGGGGTGGAGGATGCGATGGCTAAAACTGAAACAAAGATAAATAAGAAAAAACCCAAATTTTGTTGAAACCCTAAGACATGCAAACCCTACAGAACAGCCCACCTCCCAACATAAGTACCTATTATTGTCCTAAAATCAAACAATTCTGACTTTAAATTTTAATGTATTTTTAGAAAGACAATTGAAAATTATTAATAATAAAAAAGTGATGAAAGTGAAATAACAACAATGGGTGCAGCAGCCAACATCAAACAATGTGACACAGTCGAACCAAATATCAAACATGCACACTTCATTAATTCTTTATCACCAAACTCCGATCTTTTATTTTCATTTTCCAAATAAATAAGAATATTATATGTTTGGATCATCATATTATTAATAATTATTAACTAATTATTAAATTTATCAAATGAATATAAAATTATCGTTAAATATATCAAATTATTATAAAATAATTATCAATTTTTATCAACTTATTATAAAATGATAATTAAATTTATCAAATTATTTAAAAAATAATCATTAAAATTATCGAACTTTATGATCATAAAAAAGTGAAAGTGACCATTAGATAATAATTCGATAAATTTAATAATTAGTTTACACGTTTTACAAATTTAATGATCAAAAAAGTTCATTTTAACGTAGAGTAAAAGTACTATATCCAATTTTAAAATCCTTTTTTCAATCAGTGTTTTTTTGTTGCAATTTTATGTTTACCGTTACTTATTTATATTTTTGTTAAAGTGTCCAAATAGTCCCCGTTATATAGGGTATTATTTTATTAAGTTCATTGATTATTAAAAATTATAAAATAATCCATCAATTATAGGTTGTTGTTTTGTTTAGTTCCCTGACTATTGAAAGTTACAAAAATGATCACTCAATTATTCATATGTTCCAAACTCATCATTTTTTATTAAAATAATTGGCGACCGTCTGAGTTGGACGTTAACATGTTTACTTGGAAATGATAAATCTAATCTCAGTATCATTTGAATTGTGTTTATTCGATCGACTCTCTTTTTAAATTATGCCTTCGAGCCAGTGTTTAAAACATTATGTCGTCGAGCCAATGATTGAAAGCAACAACGGTGCCCCTAGACTTCATTAAAATATGATTTTATTATATCTCAATCAATAGATTAACGTCCAACTCAGACCATCATCAATTTTTAAACGGAAAAGAATGAGTTTAGAACATATGAATAGTCAATTGACCATTTTGTAACTTTTAATGATCATAGGACTGAACAAAACAACGCACTATAGTCAAAAGACTATTTTATAACTTTTAATAATCAGGACTAAAAAATACGCCTTATAGTCGAGGAACCATTTTTGTACCTTACATTTTTTTTAGTTTATATTTATGTTTTCTGACGGTCTCTTTCAAGGCAAAATCATCTCAATAATCCAACCAGACAAACTATTTAGCCCAATAATGCAACCCGAAAATTATTTTGGAATCTATGTCTTTTGCTACAGTATTCGTAAAACTCGTCACTCATCATGCCCATGTGACGAGTTTCATAAAATATATTAAAAATTAGAACTCATCATATGATATAGAACAAAATTGTATAGAACTTGTCACGTCCACGTAACGAGTTTTATTTTTTTAATATATTTTATTGAACTCGTCACACCCACTTGGCGAATTAATTCTCAAGCATCCATTTTTCAAAAAAAAAAATCCCGGTTGTATTATTTTCCTAGTTTTGCCCTCTTTCGATAACATCATTTTTAAAATTTTAAATTTGAGTTCATCTATTAAAAATATAATACGCAAGCTCTTACTACTATACTAAACATTTCTTTATCTTAATCTAACAATTATATATGTATATAATTTTTGTAACACCCCAACCCGTATCCGACCCGAATACGAGTCAGAGATGTCACATTGACTTTTAAAAACGATATTGTTACAAAATAACAGAACATTTGAACTATTTTTAAGAAAATACGATAATATATTGTTGAATCATGTTTGTTATAACCAATTTAAGAAAATATATGTTTTATGAACAGTAAAATATGGTATGAACGGTGAACAATACCGTGAACAGTAATGAACATTACCATGAACAGTACCCGAATGTTAAAATTTTCCAGAATGTCAGAGTGGAACTGATTCCCCTGCTTAGTAGCGAATCGATACCCTGCTACAGTACTTTCGTAAAATACGTATAACTTCATAAAAACCTAAGCTTTCATCCGTATAAAATTTATCAATTACATATACGCATTTAAAACATTACAAAACTCAATCGTATGACTTTTCAAAACCAATTAAAACATATCGGATTTAATCCTTTATTTACATGCCAACCACTATCCTTATTACAAAATACATACTATACATTTCTTTTCTGATTTGATCTTTGGAAAGGAGAAACTGACATGTCTTGCTTAACTTTTATCTTTCTTCCTCTTCTCGGAACCTAAGCGTGAAACAATCACACGCTAAGTCGATGACTTAGTGAGGCATAAAAACATGTAATAAAAACCATAAAACATTTCATATATCAAAATGCATACATGCACATATACCATCATATTTCTATTTATATATCAAATCCACACATGTACATATATGATTATCTTCTTCCTTATCATTATCCTATTATTATCATTAATACCCATCCTATATCATTTCATAAAGAAATACACTTAACATCATATAATTCATGTAATATAGTTCATATAACTAAAAACATATATCCTTTCATATAACCAATACATGAATCCCGTAATTTATTCCATATAACATATCACATATACATATCACATTCAATATATTTATTTGTTTTCTTTAATCCCATGTACACTGCTGAGAACTGAAGGTATGTGAGTATATTGAGGTTGTGTACTAATGTTGTCACCACAGCTCGTATAAATTCCCACTAGGGGCACTGAATATTTGTCCCGAAGGACTACGTAGAAATGTCCCGAAGGATCACTCCTTAAGAACCATATACCTAATACGATGGACCAAATAAGTGTACCGAAGTACCACATACATGTTACACAGAATTACATATATGTCCCGAAGGATCATATAGAATTGTCCCGAAGGACCGCGTAGACCCTCGAATCTTGGCATGCAAACTATACCTATAGCTCTCGTATTATATAACATGGACATTTTTCTTTTGCTTCATATATTCATGTACTCATATCATTGCTCTTATGATCACATGTCACATGTGCATATAATCACGTAGTGTACTTTCATGTCACTTTTCATATGAATTCATATTCATATGTCACATAGCTCGTATCACTTTGCATGAATTCACATAAACATATATATAATTTGATTCATGTCTTATTCTTATATCATCATATATATATCATCTATGTTTCATCACTTCATCTCATATCATATAACATACTCTATCCTCTTATGTTCACATGACATATAATGGATACAAATTATATTCACATATGCCTTTACTCATGAATTCATACATCATACAAATCATGTCATCTCTTGTTCTCATATGTTTCCAATGCATCACATATATCACTTTTATTACATTAAAAGATAGACATGTAGTCTTATGTGCCCTATCAATACTATGTGTTCACATAATTTCCTATTATCTTATAAGTAAATACTACATATTTTATCTCACCTTTTCATTTATTTACATAAGCCATTTAGTACTTACAATAACATATCCACTCATATAATCAAGCATACACACATTTCATGTCATTCATTTCGTTTTCTATATCCTTATCACATAACTTATTTTATTTCTCATGTTCTTATGTAAACATATATATATATATATATATATATATATATATATATATATATATATATATATCACACAACACATAGAACAACATGTTATACATATCACATATACATATAATCATGTAACTCATGTCACATACAATAACATTTTAAGAGTTACTTCTTACCATAATAACTCCGTCAGTGGCTCATCGCAAGCCAATGTTCATTCTATAAACACAAATTAAATTGCACTCACCTTAGCCTTGCTTTGATTCAATCCTAATCCTTTGATTATTCCGGAACTTGTTTAGGTTCAATATCTACATAAATATAACA